CAATTACGGCAAACCTGCTTTAGAGAATCTGGCCAATCGAGGGGCCCCAAGGCCCTACCACTAACCAGGTCCCCTTACCCGGGGTCCTGGCTATACTCGATCTTTCATTATAGGGAAACGAACTCTATACACCGACGCGTTTGCCGACCCTGCGCTGAAATTCGCATAGGAACGCGGATCCTGGTGTATACGGGATCCTGGTGTGTTCATTCTTCGTTTGTTCCCCTGGAAAACGGGGAAACAGTATACACCATACCACCCCGACGTCGTCCCCGACCCTCAAAAGTCGTGGGACTGAAAGAACAACCCGCCACTGGTAATGTAGATGTTCCAGTTTCCGGCATTAGGTCGGGCATGTCCTCCTACCGGCGGACGTGGGAAGAAACACGAGACGAGAGTCAAACCGTACCCAAAAATAAGCACACCTAGTCCAAACGTCGTCCCCAGGCTATTTCGTCCTATGTTTGAACCTTCCTCCTGTAAGGGGGACATGCCCGCGATAAAATCTTTCATCCTCTGGCGTTTCCTGGCGGCCCCGCGAGGGCCCCCGCCCCCCCTGGGGTCGAGCACGTTGCCGCAGTCCGCTGGGCGTCTGGGCCGAAAAACCCAGGCCTTAGGCGAGAGAAGGCAAGATCAGTCAGCTTCGAATCCAGAAATCGGATCGAGTCGGAGTGTGCATCGGATCGAACTGCATCTGCACGGAACCAGCATCGAATCGGACTGGCCGCGCCAGGATGCTCGGCAGCGCCCATGCATGCATCGGGCCGCGTCGGATCTTCAGAACATCGGAATCGGATCGGTTCAGGCCGGCCAGACACGATATCGAATCCGATCGCCTGGGTCGAAGTGGACCCTGGTAGGATGAGGAGGATGAGAGGAGCAGCAGGACAAGGGAAGGGAAGGAGAGGAAGAGGAGGATGAGTAGGATGTGGAGGAAGAGGGGGAGGGGGAGAGGGGAGGAGGCGAGTAGGCCAGAGAAATGAGGAGGATGAGGAGGAGGAGGGGGGGGGGGGGGGGGAGGAGGGGGGGGTGGGGGCGGGAGGAGGGGAGGAGGGGTGGAGTGAGGAGGGACAGGATTAGGACAGTGGATGGGAGCGGAAGATAGGGAGAGGGCAAGGGGGCAAAATGTTTGCTCTGCGCGCGCCCAGACATAAAAAAATAATAAAATAAATAAAAATCGTGGGGTGGGACCCCAGGGACGGAAAAAGAAAAATTCCTTCGCCTTCCTCCTCCTTCCTTGCCTTAGTCCCATATCCCTTTTCCTCCCACTCTCTTCCGCCTCCTTTTCTTTACAATCCTATTTCCCCCCCCTTCCTTTCCGCCCTTCTCTAGTCCCGCCTATCCTTTTGTTTGTTCCCCTCTTGATAGTAATATCGAGAATAAATCTGTAAGCAAGAATCGGGGTAGTACTAGTCGGACATAATTCCTTTCCTTCCCCTTCTTTTTTTTTTTCCTCCCTACATCTAAAAAACTCCTTCCCCCCTTCCACCCCCCTAACCTTCCAATTGCGGTGATTCTTGTTTTCTCATGGGTTTCTTGGGTGCGGTTTTTCCCGCCGACGGGTGTCAGAGCGGATCTTGAAGCCCCAAATGACCCCCCTCGCGTGTTATGCGCTCGCAAAGAGGGGAGCTGTGCACAGTGGAGGACGTGGAGGAGAAGGAAGCGGATGGGCAGCAGCATGCGCAACTGCATGAATAGGGGTATGAGCAGACGGATGAGCAGGAGGAGGAGGAAGGCGGAGGATGAGAAGGAGGAGGAGGAGGAGCAGGCGGAGGAGGAGGAGGAGCAGGAAGAGGAGGAGGAGGAGGAAGAGCAGGAAGAGGATCAGGAGGAGGAGGAGGAGGAGGAGGAAGAGGAGGAGGAGGAGAAGCAGCCGCAACAGCAGGACAACGGCATAGGAGGACCGAGGGGAGCTGGACGACCATAGGGAAGGCGGAGGAGGGGGAAAGGGGAAAGGGGCGACAACGACGAGCAAGGACTCCGACCTAGCAGTCGGGCCCACGCCGGGGCGAGAGCGCCGTTCGGAACGCCTGGGAGCCGAACGCCGATCCCGAAGCGAGGCCAACGCTACAGCGGGGGCACCGTGCTGAAACGCCGAAGACGCCGAGGTCAAACACATGCAATTACACTACCAATGCTTGCGATCGGTCTGCGAAGCCGGAAAGGGACACGAACATGCGACGCGTGGAGCTGCTTCCAAGACGCTTGAGGTGGGCGACGGCCACAGCAACGAGGACAGTATGCCGTGTAGAAGGGGTGTCCTGCCCTGTGCCGTGCTGCATTGAAGTATGCCATGCTGCGTTGAACTGTGCTGTGCTCTTTTGCGTTGTGGGTCAGGTAATTCTTGGCGTCATCGCCCTGACCGAACTGATGTGAATATTTAACTCGAGCTGCCTGATCGCATAGCTCGAGCTAGTTTGCACGCGAAACGCGCGGGGCGTTCGACCAGCTCGAGCTCCAGGTCCGATTCAGTTCCGAGACGGGTCGAACCAAGAGGGGGTGAATCCGAACCTATGCGGAACGCAGCACGACTGGACGGACCGAAACGCGGGGAACCGACACACGACGAGCTGCATCAAGACGAACCGAAGCAATACGAACCGAGACGAAGGCCGAACCAACCCTATTCGAAGCGAGACAAGACAAACGGAGACTGGGACGAGCCGAATACGCCTGCACCGGGACTGGAACGAGACCGAAGCGAGACAAGACAAACGAAGACTGGAACGAGACAAACGGAGACATGACGAACTGTGTCAAGACGAACCGAAACAATACCTATACGACCACCCTTCGGGTGATAAGGAGGTTCGGGGGATGGGGGGGAAAGAACCAACTAATGGCACATGTGATGGATGTGATGATGACGATGCTGGTGACGCGCCCTCGAGTTAGCGACGACGCGTGATGACGATGTTGCGCTGCGATGTAATGTCACTATCGTCCCCGCTTTCGATCTCACTCGATCGATCCCACCATCGACCTTGCGGCCAGTCTTAGTACCAATGGATTCAGCGATCGATCGATCTCACTATCGATTCCTCGATCGACCTCACAATCGACCTCACTATCGATCTCACAACAAATGTCACAATCGACCTCACTGTCGATCTCACTTTTGATCTGACTATCCATCCCATTCTAGCGATTTCATTGTCGATACCAAGGCGGGACAGCCCCCGCCACCGCCGGCCCACCGCCGACGGAACACCGACGGGGCACCAACGGGACACCACAAGACACCACGGCGGGACACCCCGGGCCACTGCGCGCCCACCAGGGGCGGGGGGCCGGTGCATCCGAATCGCTGTAGCGACGGCGGGGTCTTTCTTCTCGCGCGCCCACGCAGCTTCGCCTCGCCTGCACGCGCGACACGAACACGAGACCGAAACCGATCTGCCGGTGGGGGGCTCTCCCTTCCGTTGCGATCTCCCCCCCCGACCTCCGACGAGCCGAGACGCAGGCCGAGCCGACCCTACTCTGAGCGAGACAAGGCAAACCGAGACTGGGACGAGCCGAAGGCGCCTCGGCCCACCGCCGAGCTCCGAGGGGGCAGGGCTCCCCGCTGATAGCCAGGTTCCACGCTCCTGGCGCAAGAAGAGCGCTCGATCTGTGCTGTGGTGCGCCGTGCTGCGCCACGGTGCGCTGAACCGTGCGCTTCTCTTCTGCCGTGCGTCGGCCGTGCTGTGCGGCGCCACGCGGCGACGTGGTGCCCCAGCTGCTTCGGGCATCGTGCCTCGATCGCGCCACTCGCCATCGCCCGGGCGTCCACTCCCTGTTTTTTTGGTCGGTTTCGCGCGTGGCTTTTTCGCCGAAAGATCAAGGATGCTCCTCGATGGTCCTCGCCGAGGGAAAAATGCACACGCCCGAGCGATGCCGAGGCCATGCTGCGGCGATGCCGCCGAGGAGCGCGCCACGAGGCGCGCCGGGGGCCGCGCTGCAGGCACAGGAACGCGCCAGCGGACGCGCCGGGTGACGTCCCAAGGGGGGGGGGGGCGCGCGCGGGCGCGCCAGGGGACGCGCCGTGCGACGTGCCACGGGGGCGCGCCACGGGACGCGCCACGGCAGTGCCAGGGAACGTGCCACGGGACGTGCCAGCGGACGTGCCATGGGGCGCGATGCAGAAGTGCCGAGGGACGCGCAAGCCAGGGGACGCGCCAAGGGACGCTCGGCGGCGAGCCCTGTGGGGAAGTCAGAGGGGCGAGCCTTCGCAGAAGTCTCGGAAGGCCCTGCCTGCTGACAGGTTTTCTAAGCCTTCTCCGGAGACACAACAGACTGCTCAGAGGGCGACAGGGCTTCTCAGAAGCCCACTCTCACATGCCCCCTAAGGCTCGCCGCCCACACGCGCCAGGGAACGTGCCAGGGACGCGCCAGGGACGTGGCCCCACACGGAGCTCCACCGAAGCCCTCGGGGGGGTTCGCATGCTCGTCCCCACCCATTTCGGCACACCCCTCTCACGCTTCGTGGCTCCATGGGGAGCTCCACCGAAAGCCCCAGTGGCACAGCCCACATGCATCCCCAAGCCCATGTCGGCACACCTCTCACACGTTTGGTCGCCTCACATTTCGCTCCACTGAAAGCGATATTCACAAGTGCGGGACCCCCATCTGCATATGGCTGGGTCCTTCGCCAGGACAATTGGCTCCAGGGGCTTCGCGACGAGCTCAGTGAGTCTCGGGAGAGTCCTCTTAGAGCCCGCTTTGGGCAGGCTTGAGACAGTCTTGGGGTGTCTTGGGGCCTTCTCGGCCCGTCTTGAGCCCCTGCTGAAGCTGGAGCCTTCTTGGGGCAACAAGCGGCGACGATGAAGATGCAGCGGATGCGCAATGTCGCGAGGATAGGAGAAAGCTTTTGGCGGAATTTGGGAACGAGCCCGACACGGTCGAGAAGAGGGGCAGGATGAACGGGAGGAAGAGGCGGAGGCGGAGGACGAGGAGGGCGAGGAATCCGCCGAGCGCTGCACCGACGCCGCTTTGACACTGCCCCCGCGCCCCGCGCCCGCCTGGCCAGCGTGGCCGGTCAGATCCTTAGCGGGGCGATGCCTCAAACCGGTCCACCGTCCTCCTGTGCTGTGACAGGCGGTGCGCCCAGGGGGAATAGTGAGAAGGGGCGGGCCTTCTCGGAGGGCTCACAAGTCCCCGGGCCTTCTGAGAAGTTTTCGGAGCCTTCCCCAAAGACACGAGAAACTCCTCAGAAGGCTCGAGGGCTTCTGAGAAGCCCCGCCGCCTTCTGAGAAGGCCTTCTCCTTCTCATTTCCCCCCCTCGCTCGCCGCCGACGCGAATCGCAATCGTCGTGCCACCACAAGCGCACGGGGCGCTGAAGAAGCATCGGAGGGGCATCTTTAGCCACGGCGAGCCTCTCTCGGCCACGACGAGTGGGGAGTGAGGCCCACGGCCTGCGCACATCTGCAAAAAACACGCCCGGGAAGCAGAGCCCCTCCTCTGAGCCCAGCACGGCCCTTCCTTGGGCGCCTTGGCCGTGCGCGCGCGGGGGCGGCTCCCCGACGCCGGCGGCGCTCGGGGGAGGCGCTGGCGAGGAGCGCGGAAGCTCCGGCGCCTCCAGGGCCCGAGATCTGGCCGAGGCCAGCGCGCTCCCCGCGGACCGCCGACTCCACCCCCGGAGGGAGACGGTGGAGCTCGGCCGAAGAGTCCGCCGACGCCCGCATGCAGACTGACCGAACCCCTTCCACAACCCAGGACCTCCTCCTCCTCCTCCTCCTCCTCCTCCTGCTCCTTCGCCGGCGTCTTCCTCCTCCTCCTCCTTCGTCGTCGTCCTCCTCCTCCTCCTTCTTCTTTTTTCGTCCTCTTCCCCACAAGTGGAAGGAGCACTCCCCCTCGCCCACGATTCACAGTCCAACCTGGCAGGTGTCTTTCATGCGTTTAGCCATATGAGAGCAGAACTTGTGCAGTCTGGCATTAAGACTGCTCGAGCGGCATCAGCGCCATGGAGATTCACAACGTCCCCCGTCTTCAATCGACCTCTCTCCTCCACTTACATATCATTATCTCGTTTTGCCTCGATGCTCTGGCACATACAGTCGAGGCGTTGACCTAAGGAACCCTAAATAAAGAACGAGGCCCCTATTTTCCATAAGTTGAACTTCGATTTCGTATCGAAAACCTAAGGGACATCCAAGGCAAGCTGCGAAACACTTAAGGAACACAGAGCCCCTCCCCAACGAAAAGGGTTCCTTCTTCAGGGCCCCGACTGTATTGGCATCGTAAGACCTCCCAACGTTGCCCCAACGATCTTGAGAGGGAACACCGCACCCCGTGTGATGATCTGCGCCGCTGGATCGCACCAGCAGGCTTGAAACATCAGTGGTAGACGGCACGCGTTACCGTCGTGGCGTTGACCTAAGGAACCCAAAATAAGGAACGAGGCCCCTTTTTTCCATAAGTTAAACTTCGATTTCCGATCGAAAACTTGAGGAAAGCCTGAGGCAAGCTGTGAAACACTTAAGGAACGCGGAGCCCCTCCCCAACGAAAAGGGTTCCTTCTTCAGGGCCCCGCCTGTACTGTTGCTTGCGCTGCGGCCTGCAAAGTTACTGCCTTCCCCTTACAATACTTCTGGTGAGGCACATCGAGCTCCCCGAAGCCTCCGACACGCACCGAGGCCCTTGGAAGCCTCCTCCTCTTCCTCCTCCTTCCTCCCTCTCCTCCTCCCCCTCCACCACAGCGAGCTTGGTCCTCGGTAGCGCCGCCGTCGACACGCTTGCAGGGGCTCGAGCAGCCTTGGCCAGAGTCGATCCCCACACTCGTGCCCGCGTTTTCCAGGTTCAGCGTACGGCCTCTTGGGTCACGCTGAGACCCGGCAGGCTGAACAAGAGCGTGAGGGGCCCAGGCCTCGCCTGAGACACGCTCGCCCTCGCCCCCCCAGCTCCGACCGCCCGTGCCGATCGAATCTCCCAGCACGCTCTTGATGAGGACGGGCGCTCCTGCGAGAGATGCAGGGGTTCGGCCTCCATCGCCCGAAGAAGGGGGTGGCCGAACTCTCCATGCCTCGCTTGAAGACGTGTGGACGGCGTCGTGTGGGACCCCCCTCCTGGGCAACAGGTGCATCTCGGGGGGGGCTCTCAGAACCCACGCACTGAAGTATCACGCTCGGCTACATATTTGGTGTTGTACATCCTGCGGGTATTACGCGACCCAGCTGATGACTAAATAGTCAGGTGATCGTGGATGGTTATCGTAAGGATTTAATTCGCAACAGACTGGGTGTGACCTGAATGTTGCAGTAAAGCTGACCTCCGCAAGCGTAGCCTGGCGGGGAAAGCCCCCCAAACTGTCTCAAAATCTTCTTGTAACCGACATGACTACATTATCCATGAGTCCGTAACTCCTCCTCCTGCCCCATCTCGGGCGCCGGCGACGACCACGACGACTGCGACTCCCTCAAACATCGGCCCACCTCTCCAGGGGTGCGTTCTGGTCAGAACATCGAAAAGAAACCTGCCGCGGCGATGCGGAACCTCTCTGATGTCCGAGAAGAACAAAAGACACCTCCTCCTCCTCCTCCTCCTCCTCCTCCTCGTCCTCCTCGATCCTCCTCCTCCTCCTCCTCCTCCTCCTCCTCCTCGTCCTCCTCGATCCTCCTCCTCCTCCTCCTCCTGTTCCCCAGGGTCGCCTTCTGAGCCCACTCGGCCGCCACATGGGCTCAGAAAGGAGCACGCAAGGCTCCTTCCCCTGGGCCACGGCGACGAAAACGACAACGACGACGACGACGGCCGCGACGAAGAACCCCCTCTTCTAAGCGACCGTGCCATGCGGCGCGTCTCTGTCTGCCCCTCGTTCTGCTGCACCTGGACCTGGCAGCCCGTCATCTCGCGCATCTGCTTGAGGCCAGCGCCCTGGGGGGGGGGACGAGAAAGGAGGAGCGGGGAAGAGCGGAGGAGGGAGGAGGGAGGAGGAAAGAGGAGAGACGGGGGAGGAGGGATAAGGAGGGAGGAGGGGGAGGAAGAGAAGGAGGAGGAGGAGGAGGAGGAAGAGGAGGA